GCAGCTCAATGTGAACTGAATACAGAACTGTTGAGCGGAGAACGGTACTAAATGGAAAGGTAGTGGTCTGAAGATGCAATACGAATCTTCGGTCATGATAACTGAAATTGGCAAATGAAAACATTAAAATCAATCAGAGAGGTGAATTGTTTTGAGTGATGAACAAACAGCCATGCGCCAATTTTAAACAGAATGAACAATAAATTTATGGTGAGGAAACGGTAGGTGTGCACGATCCCTTGAAGGAAATGATTGAGAAGAAAAAGTATAAGGGGCCGGTTGGTTCAGGGTTGTGATGCTCAGAATCAGTGTTGCGATCGAAAACGCGAATGATGATGAAAGCATTCTGAGTGTATGTTAGTGGAATTGTTTGGAACGATAGTATCTGATGTGCAAAATCCACAGCATAAATCAGTTGAAATAACAATGTCTGGAAAACTTTGTCTGCGATAACCTCAATGCAGTCTCAAAATTTCACTTGTGTCCTCAAAAGTTGAGTTAAAGTCACAGTGAATACGTCATCAAACCACAAGGATAAAAGTGCCCACAGAAATACCCATCAGTGATGTTGATCACGAATGAAAGTTTATCATGATCACCTGCCTACTTCAGCTTAAATAATTTTAGTTTCAGTTTTTAAAACCATTAACCATACACTTTCGTGCGCCGGTTTTGGTTGCAGTCTTTTGGCCGACCGCTGGGATAAAAGAGCAGAATTCATAGAGGAATTTTGAGAGAAAATTCAAGCGGAGGATAGAAAACTCGTATAGACTGAGGTTGCAAAAATAACCATCGGTGACCATGATCTCGTGATCCCCAGCCAGGGAGCCTAACGGGACCTATGTGACCTGGTTAGGAGTTTTATGCTCTCATGCCAGGTCTTAGTTTGACCTCCCTTGATTTTTTTCCAACCGCTACCTGCCTCGGAGAATATCGCTCGCCGTGGCTCGCCGTGCCCCAACCAACGTAATCTATGGAGGTTCGTCACTTACTCCAGTGGGAGACCGCCATTACCTAAAACTCTGCACCTAACCTCAGCATTAATCATCCGGTTATCCCACCAGACTTGTGCAATGAGACGTAGACAGCGGTGTTCGAACACCGACAATCTATTTCTATTCTGTTGCCGTAATGACCAAGTCTCTGCACCGTAAAGCAGCACTCGCCGAACTGCTGTAGCATATACTCGACCCTTCACAGACAGCCGGATGTCGCGACGGCGCCACAGATATCTCAAGTTAGCAAATGCCAACCGAGCTTTCTGTATGCGCGCCGACACTTCATCTGTGATGCGTCCGCTAGATTAGATATAGTTTTCCAGATAGAAAAACTTGTCTACTTTCTCTACTACTTCCCAACCAACTCATTCCTGTCGTAACATTTCACACTTTGAAGGTGCAAAACACATACCGATCATGGCAACACTGGTATTCAAATTATCCAGAAGTGCTTGCAACTTACCTGGATCTTCACTTATCAGCACAGTGTCATGTGCATACTCTAGATCTGACAGTTTGACACCTAGAAGTAAATCGATACTGCCATCATCGCAGAAGGAAAGCGCTGTTTCAAGAATAATATCTACGACAAAGTTAAGTAGAAACGGAGAGGGCAACCCTGATGAACACCACTTTCCGCGGTGAACTCGGGCGAAAAAATGCCGTTAACTGAAACTCGTCTTCGGCTGTTACTCTAAACGGATTATAATATTGAAATAAACTTCTTAGGTGCACCCTCCCTGGAAAGGTAGCACAAGAGTTTAAAGCGGTCGACTGAGCCGGATGCCGCTTTCAGATCAAGGAAGACAGAGATGGTGGGTTTATGAAAAGAATGTCGGTGATCCGGAGTTTGGTGAAGGGTAAAAATGTGGTCGATACTACCTCGACCAGGTCTAAAACCAGCCTGGTTCTGACGCGCGCGTTCTTCGCGTGCGGCAGAAAATCGATGGGGTATGATGCGGGCGAGAAGTTTGGAAGTAATGTTGATTAAACTAATTCCTATGTGGTTTTCACAAGAGGATCTGTCACCTTCGTTATAAATCGGTATAATCACCGATTCACACCATTCGAGTGGGACCTCTTCCCTCTCACACACTGAAGCCAGGAGTTTCCTTAACTCCGAAACTAAGGCTGAATCTCCATCCTTGAAAACCGATGGGGACAGCCCGTCGATCCAGGAAGGCTCTAGCCATTTGGGATACTTTACTTCCCGGGAAACCTCCATTTCAGATTGAGGGCTGATGTCAACTGGCAGTATTTAAACACATACTTTCGGTGGTGATTGAACAGTTCGGAAACCGAATGTGGCTGGTGGTTGGTGTACACGATCTGGCAGGCGTAGTTCATCGTTTTTATGTTTCTTTATCCTAAATATATGTTTGTCACACTGGTTAAACGTTTGAATATTTTAATAATTCGTGAGCTTCAATTCACTGTTCAATTCAATGTTGGACATTGCATTCCTGATCTCGAACATCTCGAACAACAAATGAGTTTTTCACTGAGAGTATCCGTTTGAAATATTTACTAAATGAGGTTCACTGCACATTGTACCCATATTTGATGCTCCAGTTCCTTATGCATGTTACGCATTAGATCACTTGAACAGACGATCTCTTCTCAACCTGTACACGCAAGTCGTTGACATTTATTTCATTTTAGCCTAATTACTCCACTTTGATGGGTCTGTTTTGTTTCTATTGATTTGTATAAAGAAAAAAGAAAAACCTTATGAACATTTACCCTAATGAATGTGAAAACGGGCGTATTGTGGTTGCCCTAGGAACGAGCTTGTAGTGGCTTGAGACCGACAGTGTAACAAGCTCGAGAGTTGCCACCACCTTTGGTCTGCTTTTTCCGCATGGTTGAAGGCATTGGTTGCTTGGAGCATTCGCTCGTGCATCCTTCTCCTTTGTAGCATAGATTCCGCCAGGATCTTCGATATCCTGAGATCGCTTCTTCAGCTAGGTCTTTTATCTTTGTTTAAGTCACTACCACCTCCGGTGAAGTAACTTTCACTTTAAACGGTGCGTGAGTTCAGTGCTACACCTTCTCTCGCTAAGCAATTTTCGCTTTTAGACACTGTCGAGCGTACTCGGGCTAAAACTCCGGTGCTTTCAGGGAACAATACACTTTCCCTTGACTAATTGGTTGTTCTTCCTGATTCATACCGGGTTATCGAGCAACACGGGAGAATTAGAAATCGGATCGCTGTCGCAGGTCGCGCAATTGCATCCCCTATCTCTAAAAGCTTGCTCCCGCCCCAAACAAATTGTCTGAATAGCAGTGACCGTTTCATATATGACCTCTCCGGGTTTTGTCGTTTGTCCGCATTGCGATATTGCCCCCGAACGGATTCAGGTGCACACCTGTTGACCACGTTGAAAATACAATTCCATCCGCGGGAGTTTAACTGGTCTTCATGCAGCTTCTGCGTTCCGAGTTTATTTGCATGCAAAAAACTTCTGCAGTCTGTCAACTATGTAACAATACTTCAATCACTCAACACCCGAGGTTATATCCCATATGGCGTTCACGGTGGAGTAGATTGAATGTCGTCTCAAATAATTTTGAGCGGTAATTTGAGTGGCCTAAGAGAAACTACGACATTCCTCTGAGAACCATGGAACTCGAGTAGCACCAAGATTAGGGATTCGATTGCCAAGACTACTTAGATTCCTTGAGGCTACACGATTACTGGAAACGCGGCGTGATCGAATAAAAAAATCTTATAGATGACCACGTATGATGGCGTTATTCGTTTTCTCTGTTTGGCGAGATTAAGATGGAACCTATGTGATGCAGATAACTAATACGAATTGTGTGATTTGTTCAGCTTTCCCGCTTTTTGATTATCGCCAGCGGTGGGCTCTGGATGTTGCACAATAGTTCTGCTCAGAATTTCCATAGTGCTTTGTGTAACATATCTCATGATAAAAGGACGGTGTGTAGTATGAGTATCAAATTGTGCAATAAGCTAGAAAACATTTAGATTAAACACTAATCGCAAAGAAACTTCCATTATGAATTGTATCGCAACGCTAGAGTATTGCTTCCAGTGTCGTTTATTAAGGTGCATTTTGGTCATTCACGTGCCTCAATTAAGCCGGGGAAGTTTTAGGTTTGGTGTTCATTCGGTGCTCTACGGATCAGTCATTTCTGGTTCAAACATTTTAATATCGCATTCATGAGGCCATTAGTCTGAAATATCCATGATGTGTACACTCATTCTGTCTCAAAAATCAATAACAAAGTCCGAATTATTGATCGCCCACAACTGAATGTTACACTTCGCACTCTGAAGTACCGTTCGATTGGTGAACACTTTCGGTCATGAGATCAATCATCACACGGTTGTCTGCTTCACACTCTCGACGAGTCATAATCGGACCTTAGAGTTACCTAGATTTTATACCAGACTGAAGTGGAATGTCGATCAATAGGGATTTTTGTTGACATAAATGTGATGTGATAAACAAGTTTAATGTCACACAAGCATGTTTCTGTTAGCTATCACTAGAGGAAACAGAAAAAAAAAACAATTTTTCAGTTGACGACGTTTCGACCCTCTTGGAGGGCCTTTTTCAAGTCTGTTAACTAGCTTGTTAATGCTTTAAGCATGACGCACAATTTCTTCAAAGATATCTGTTCCAAATTTGGGTTTGACAACGTTAAGTTTAAATTCAGTTTGAAAAAAAAACATTAGGTCTTAATCTAGGATAGGAAATGCGCCACCAATAGTGCATTTTGCCTTAATAACGCTATGCCTACCTTTATCTGGGTTCGGCGATAGCTTATATATTCTAATCACATTGTTTGTTCTTGATGGACATCTTAGATTTCATGTAGATGAATTATAGCACTCAGTAGCTGAAATGTTTCTACTGACTGATCTTTCTTCTCCCACTGTTTCATTTCCAAACTATGACCTTCACTCCTCGTGTGGCAAATCACGCTTGGGCTAACAACGACAGGCCCAGTCAATTTTTAGTGATTTGTTAGACTTTGTTCTGGCCTTGGACAAAAAGAATGCCAGTGAAACCGGACCATTGGTGGTGGTTCCCCGACGCTTGCCAGGTCCATGTTCATCCCCGCAAACTGGAGCCAAAAATCGTGTCGAATTGGGTGGCAAGCCGATGTACAGAGAAGTATTTGTCTGCTCGTCTGATGAAGTAGGTAACAGAAAACAATTTAACCTACATTTTCACTAATGTTATACAATATTTATATGAAATTAAAGTAAACCGATTGAAAAATTCAAACTTTTTGTTTCATAAATGCTGTCGTTTTATTCTTACTTGATCTGCGTACGAAGGCATATATAATACCATTTGTGAAGATCATATCGGACGAGAAATAGATGATCACAACTGATCACAATACCAGAATAGTGACGGCGGTCTATTTTTGGCTGAAAGCTTGGATATAACTCGCTAGAGCTGCAATACAATACAATACAGTGCGATACAACAAAGTACAATACAATACAATAACCGAAGTTGATTTTAACCAGTGTCTTAGTCAGGTTAAAACTGGTTCGTAACTAAATGTGAGAATGATTTCATTGGTTGAATATCGATCTTCTCCTGAATGCTACCCACGTACGTTTATTCCTTTGTTCTCGTATTTGAAAGCAGAGCTGTTGTGGCATTTGAGTAATTTAACTGGAAGAATGAGCTCGAGATAGTTAACTGAATGTCTGGGCTACGATTCACACAATTTTTGCTGCATCTAATCGACAGATATGAAGATTTAACTTTTACAAGTCATCAATCCAATGGTCCAATTCAATCTTCAAGTACCGATGTTTTGAACCGTTTTCAGCCTGTTGATAGTTGTTTACAGTCACCTCAGATTTTACTCAATTTGAGTAGTATTTTGAGTTACACCAAACTATTATGAACGCCTTATTTGATGTGAATTTATCCATTTTTCAAGATAACGAAATGATTGTCATGGTTATCGCTTAAAGATTGAATTGTTTTTCATTGAAATGACTTGAAAGTGCAACAACTTTGAACAAACAATATTAGTGCCTCCGAAATGCAGTAACCAATCAGGTCCTGTGTTAATCCTGTCATGTGCCGCAGCAAATTTCAGTGATCTATAATGTTGGCTTCCTATTGATCAACATAATGCTTGAGCGAACAGCTTTCTAAATGACATTACCTTGTAGGTTTGAATCATCACACTCATTGTCACCATTGAATTAATAAATCAGATCAAAATCGGTTTCAAGAACAGAAGCTTCTTAACCACAGATCTAATGAATTACATCATTCGGTAAATGATATTTGCATTATTTATGACATTAGGCTTGGGAAAAACTCTAATCGACGCATCTTTTCCGTCACTGTCCATATGGTTCTATTCTAATTCCGAGGAACATGGATCCTCCTAATTTCTGTATTGATGCCAATCGTTTCTACCCTGGCCTTGATTCATTTTCAGTAGAATTCAATAAGCCGTAATGGAACCACTGTATTTCATAACTTCGTGGTTGACAGCCGGTTTTCACAATATAAACTGTTTTAGTTTTAGCAGTATGATAGGATCGCTTCAAAAGTTTTGTTGTAGCTGAGTAGCTGAGTTTCGAACGATGATAGTACCAGCAATTTGCATTGATACAGTGTACCCGGTTATCATCGATTCATGCAAAATGTTGATTTAATGGGGTCACGTAAATGTGTTGGTTTCGGCAATGTAGTAAATACTGATTTCTGGATCTTTCAAAATATGTATTCATGGAGTATTCTTTAAACAGGAGGAAAACACGCGAGCTGCACTGACAGAATTGCACATGCTCCTACGATTTCATCATCCGGGGCTGCCCCAAATCTATGCATACGCTTATGACGAGACCCTTTGTAGCCAAGGCATCATACGGTTAGAGTTGTATATGCCCTGGTACGAGCTCGGCTCAGTTACGCAATGGATTCGTTCCACAAAACCGGGAGACTGGACAACACATTGTCGGATTCATGCCTTGTATACACTGGCTCAAACACTGAGCTTTATGCACAATAACGAGACCAGAACTGGTAAGCGCCACTGGAATTCTAGCGTATCCTAATGCTCTGTTTCAAACGTATGCAAACTATAGTGCATCGCTACAAGCACTTGATGCTATGATTCATATTTTTTTCTGGTTCACAACAAACACGCACACACGTCTTTGGGAGAACAAGGCAGTTGTGAAGAAACAGTCGCAGATTCAGCCACAATTAGCAATAACATTCGTATGCCCTAAGACAGTTGATAGTTGAATTTTTCACAAATTTCTGTGAATAAACTGCTTAATTTCAACAGAGCTCTCAAATTTTTGGAGCTACATACAAGTTCAAGTTGTTACCGAGTTCATAAGGAGCTAGTCTATACAATTGTTTTACGAACCCGTTACATGAGTTGCACTAGACTAACGATGAGGTAACTCAAGGTAGATTGACAAATCTTGAATCAATTGAATCAGTTTTATGCTTTTTTAACTATCAAAAGAAAACAACCTATAAGTGGCTTATGATCAACCATATCTGTAATTCATTTAATTGATTATTTTTCGGGGATAAACGGTTTTTGGTTTTGAGTCCATTGTTTCAAACACATTGAAGTAGATATTTGAATTCCCATCATCTGTTCTGTTTGCAACAGATGTAACTAAACCTAAATCAAACTGAACCCTAAATGATATTGTCAGGGATTCATATTGGAAATCCCTTGTTACTATGGATCGTTTCACATCATTTCATTTCAAACTCTGAGATCATCATATCTGCTGTTTTTTACTTTGGTATAATCGAAAAATTGGATTCTGATGCGCATTACCGATGGAGTTTCATTATCCTATTATGGAAGCTAATTTGAATAAAATGAATCCATTCCACTCGTCATTCTGTACAGATTTCGGATTTCATCGAAATCTCTCTGCATCAACAGTGATGCTTTACTCTCAGTGCCAGTTCATACTGACTGATTGTACCAAAGCGATGATTCTGAACATCCGGTCTGATGAGAGGCGTGCGGAATCGGGTGGAGATGGTGAGGATTCTCGTCAAACATGGACAATGAACACGATACTTGCCTGTCAGAGGGAGGATGTGATGGGATTTGCCCAACTTTGTCTCGAGATTTGGTCTCATCATCTCTGGGAGGATAGTGATTACACCATTCAGTTATCAAGTATGACAAAAGAAGAAAAAGCCGATTGCGTGAGTACTTACTCGATTGAAATAGCTATTTTTGAACTACACATTTTCTCATCATACTTTAGCCAGAGCGCGCGCAATTCTTTAACCTCGACCCATACACCTTTAGCCTTCACCCACTATCCTTTAGTCAAAACGCGCAATTCTTCGGTCACAACCCGTAGTTCTTTAGCCTTCACGGACTAACTTTACTCATACCGCCGTGGGCAAGTCAGATAAAAAAGTATCGGAGTATTCTGAGGTCCACGAATGTTGAAGCATTTTATTTTGAATATATGTTTATGTTTCAAAGCTTGGTTAAGAAATGAGAAAGTGTAGCAATTGTACACTGCGCAGCTGATGGTAGAAATGGTATCAAGTGTTGCACTACATATTGTTTGGAGAAGGTTTGAATGATGCGCTCGTATCGTGAAACCATTTGGCACATTTCGTATAGCTTTGATGTTTTACGTGAGCCAGTTTTAAGTGTACTAAATACTAAACGAATTGAAGATGCTTACCCTGATTGAGTTCATAAAAGGCCTCTTCCGGCGGGTTAAGAATGGGACTGCAAGGTAGAAGAAATCTAATTTGGTGGTTAACATGTAACTGCGCATCCAGAACCCTCCAATGAACGCGCTCATTGTCAAAAATGAAACCAACTAGAACACCCCTTTACTCAACAGCGAATAACGTGGGGCAGCTTGGTATAAATCCATTGAAAACATGCCCAGTACTCTTTGTATGACATTCGTATTTCAAAATATCGGCTACAGATGAGCACGCTATTATGTTTAAGTTGGGTTCTTTACTGGATGGGAGGCTTCGAATGGCTGCACACCCATCTTAGAACGTTCATAGCTGCAACAGCACCATATGTTTTAGTTAGTGTGGTCAATACACAGCCTCGGTGTTGCGTTACCCGATCACTGCAACCAATCGGCGTATTCCGATCGCTTTACTTTGACAGTTTCCGAGTTCCGTTCCACAGGCTGGGCGGTCAGCTTCTTAACCGAATACTGGTGCTCAGTCAGTAATCGATCAATCGAGGTCTGGTTGATTAATGTGCGCTCATAGTCTTTCTCCATCCTTTCCTTTATGTGCCTCAATGTAGTTCTAGGGTTCTCAGAAAGAGAATTACATAATTTTGCTGTAAAATCGTCGTTGAATGTTCCCCTGTAAGATCCAGGTTTGAATGGTATTTCCCGATCTGCAACTACACGACGTGTTTTGACCGTAGTACCGAGGTTTTCGGCAACTTCTTCCAAACCATCGCCTCTGTGTGCTAATTTAATTGCTCTCCGTGGATCTTCCGTGAGGGTGATCTACCTCATTTAACATTCTCCATATCTTAGATGCATATAATGGTAGGTAAGGTATGACAAATAATATTGCTGTCTGTCTTTGTGTTTTATAGGCCCATTATGGATTGAGGCTAAAGGATTGTGGGTTTTGGTTAACGCTTGGTAGGGAAAGATGAAGTTGTTCAGTACCCATTGACATAGAGCAGCGTGATAGAAACCCGTAAAAAACATGCTAAGTAATCTTAGTATGACATACTTTCAGATACCGCCGACTGTTGAACATCTTTTCATGTTCAACTTACTGAACGGGAGGCTTCGAACGACTTTAAATCCTACTTTGGATACATTAACAGTCCGAGAACATTGAATACCCTCGATAAAAACGATTCGGTGAGGAAACAATAGTTTTTCACATATTCCTAGTCATACTCTTACTTGTCACACGGCGAAAAAATGTCTACGTAATGACAGTCATTGGCTCACTTTAAGGTCAGTAGTCGGAAGCAGAAGGTA